GGGTCCTTCATTGGGTGTGAACACCTTCGTTGGGAGATATTATTTCACCGTATAAGGTATAATCCTCTCTTACTCTTTTTGGTTCAGATCTGGTTCAGTTTATGGTTCAAGATTGATCATTGAAAATATGATTTTCTAAATAGGGAATGCGATTCCCAGTTGAAGGGAGAGAAAATTTTTGAAATTCGCCACTTTATTCTGCAAGTTTTGGGCGTCCATACGATGGATCTCTCATCCCTTCAACCATATATACTCCAACTGAAACTAAGTTTTTGGCCTGTCTGTAGCTATCAAATAGCCCATATGACTTTCAGTCGGTACATTTGTTTGACAGTCAGAATGGGAAACGAAATTTTTTGAAATCGGAATTGGAATAGTCTATTTCCATAGTTTATTTAATTCAGACAGGAATAGAAATGGAAATTGAAAACAATAGGAATGTGATATCATTTCGAAATGGGTAGGGACAGGGAATGACAATTCCCTTAAATGGGGGATACCATTTCATCAGGAATGGGAATGAGATTTAGATTCTGCCCAACCAAACAGTTGGAATCAAAATAACCCATTCCGAACCCCTATTCCCGTGAACAAAACAGGGCCTTAGATTAAAATCATCTGATTAATTGGAATATAGTAGCTGCACACACACTATATAGCAAGATTTTATATTGTTTCTCTTGTTTCTGTGTTAATAATTATTGAAAAGAAAATAGTACTACAATATCACCTAATTAATTTCTCAAAGGAAGAATTGCTATAGAGTCTTGAAAGGCTTGTAAGTCTTCACATCCTTGGCTAGTCCCTGAACTGATCCAACTTCTGCAATAATGGACACAACCAAGCAAACCCAGCACAGTATTTTGAGCCATATCCATGTGAAGGAAAACCTGGGTATCCTCGACTGTGAGATGTACATCTCAATGGGGAAGTACACACTCAAAGGCCAGTAAGAGACTGCTCCAATCAAGCCCAAGAAGTCATTGAAGAAGGGGAATGTCATCGCAATTACTGCTGTTAAAATCACATACACTGTTCTCCATACCAGTCGAAAGAAATTGATACTGTATGCGCCATATAAAGGGATGGTAACAGCATGTTCTTTTGTTATGAATCCATTGTCTCGCCAACGCTTGCTGCACCACTTCTCCACAAATGCAAACAAGGGTTGGCAAAATACCTGCACGAGGCATGTTTTCGAAGTAAGAAGAAAAGCAAAACACCCATACCTTATAATGGGGTGATAAGGATCGAACACTAGACCATCTAATCAAATAAACTCTGATACCATATCGAGGAATCGTTCAACTTAAAAACTTAAGCCGTTAGGTGAGGCACCCTGAATAAGTTTCTATTCTCTGATCAAGTAGGAGTAGAAGAAAAACTAAAGAACATAAGTTGAGGTGGTAAGGAATGATTTCATTCATTGCTCATAATTTAACAACGAATATGCCATTAACCTGGTATGCTCCAATTAGATGGATGACGATGCAAACATTGGCAAAGTCAATGAGCCAAAAGGGTTCATACAGTCCAAACCCAGTGAGAAAGTTTCCCGGTGCTTTATTCCCAAATGCAGCATAACCAACGCAACCACATAACACATAGAACAGGGCTGTGGTCAAGACACCGATAAAAGAAGCCTTCTTCATTACTTGGTTCTCCGGGATACTTGATTTTAGTGTGTCCTGCAATTCATGAATTTCCATCAATATGCACTTCAATTGAGACAAGTATAGAAACTAAAGCTCAGTTTGGAAGGAGTATAAATACAAATATGTAGAGTGCAAATACTTATAAAATAGTACAATATACAAAGTTTTGCACTTTACATATTTGTATTTGAACTCCTTTCAAACTTAGCCTAAAGGAGAACAAAAATGTAGTTTGTTTAGCAACTCTTAAAAAATCATTACAATCAAAGTCCAAAATATTTATACATATCGGTTTTTGAATCCACTGATATGATAAATATTAGGAATTAGGACATGTAACCACTTTTGAAGGGTAATACACTTCTTAGAGATGTCCTGGTTCAATCCGTAAAACTTAGAAATTTCCATCTAAGTACATTGTACCTTTGAATCGCATGACACACAAAATAAGTATGACTTTGAACCTTGTGCTCAGTTTAGAACGAATACAAATACAAATACAAATATAAATATGTAGAGTGCAAATCCGTATATATTTATAATGTATACATTAATAGTGGGAGAATCTCTACAAAGTGTCCAAAGAAAAAAACAAAAATAGTGGCTGCACTTCTTGAAAAAAGATATTTACGATCTCTAATGCCTTATCCTTCGAAATGATTTACAACTACCAAAGTCAATGTTTTTGTGATTAAAGGGACATTCATTCCTTCTGCTGGTCTGCCCTTTCCTCCCACTTGAGAAGATTCGAATTTTTTTTTTTGAAGGCAAAAAAAAAAAAAACACCAAAACGCATATAATGTAAGTTGGGCTGCAATTGGGTAAGCCCAACATAAAATTGGCCTGAATCCTGCAACAGTTGGGCTTAGATGTTTTGGGCTCTGGCGGAAAATGTAGCTTAAAACCCTGGTTTAGCTCAAATTGAGCTACGTACCGTAAGTTGGGCTGAAATTGGCCAAGCCCAACACAAAACTGGCCTGAGTCATGCAACGGTTGGGCTTAGACTTTTGGTCTCTGGTGAAAATTTGATTGTATCGTAAAACCCTGGTGTAGCTCGAGTTGGGCTGCAATTGGGCAATCCCAGCACAAAACTGGCTGGAATTATGCAACGTTTGGGCTTAGAGTTTTGTGCTCTGGTGGGAATTGTAGCTTAAAACCCTAATTTAGCTTGAGATAGATTGGCATTGAGGCCTTGGTATAGCCCAAGCAGGCACTAATTTATATTTAAACATTTACAAACACAAGTACAATATTTTGATGCTAGTTTTTGACATGTATATATTTTTCTTATTAAACTATGTATATTTTTCTTATATTTATTTACATGTAATTGGGTCCAATACAAATCTGTGTACATACACATATATATATAGAGAGAGAGAGAACTTGCATATAGCTACATCTATTACTGTATAAAATAAATACCCCACTTACACAAGATACTTCAATTCAGGCAGAACATTATGTTAAACAGTTTTGTATGCCCTTAGCTTCAATCAAAATGATGTACCTTATGAGTTTATTGTAAATGAATAAAAGTGCATATTTGATTCATGTTCCCTTGGTATGTTTCTGTRTAATACCCTTAAACTGGACACTTAATGAGACTCGTGATAGTTTAGAATGTTCACAACCAGTGGGTCGGTCTGGGAGATCTATCCTGACAAGGCTGACACTGTGGTGCCACCAAGTCGGTTGGGGTGGCCTGTCTCAGCTAC